TAGTATGATTTCAGTGTTGTTCTGTGTGGTCGATAATTCTACAGTATTGATCTAGGTTGTTTCCAATAACACTTCATCGTGTTTGCAACTTTCGAGTTCACCAGGCAGTGTTTATTTGTATATTTGATCTGAAATCCGAATGTATGCTGAACTTAACAATGGCTAAATGCGATCTTTAATATCACATTCTCTTAAAAAGTAGTATTTAGATTTGATCTCTGGTGTGTGCTATTATTTTAAAAAAATATACTGAATAAAGTGAACAAAACGGTTTTGGATTTCAACAACTACTTTATAGCGAGTCGACTTGGGTGACAAATACGGGTCACCGTGTGCAGGTATGACGGCCCGGTATGACGGGCCACCTGTCGACCATCCCCTCCCCCTCCCCAAACTATCTCCCCCCGCTACCCTTCACCTACTCGTTGTGCTTGTTTTTACTAATAGCTAGCGAGAGAACCTAACTCCAAATTGCCTTGGTCTATATAAACAGGTTTCGGTGGAGGGGGGTATCCGATATCGCTCTGCCCCCGTCTCGTACCTGTCTCGTCCGTATCCACCACCAAATGCCTCCGATCTCCCCATTCCCTGCCCCAGCGAGAAATTAAACTTGTGGGTGATTTGGTATCGGGTAGCTTTTTCCGCGTGACACGCCACGGCCGCTGACTGTGTCAAGATCTAGCGTTACAACCGCAAGTGACAGTTTTACTGAGAAAAACACAATCCCATCTCCCTTGCATCCAGTTGCAAACTCCCAGCACACCTGTTGGGAATTTCTCTAATTAAGATAAGACCCCGAGGTGCGAATTTGCTGACCCAAGACTTGGGCTACTGGTGTCCGCGGCCACTTGTGTGGACACAGGAGATTGCGGCAGAAGCTCAGTCATTTACCGACGGTAGCTAATTACAAGTGTTGCTACGAGACCCATATGTTGAGATACGGTAATTAGTACTGTGGTGTGGCGACAAGTGACGCAGGCAGATTACAGTAATTAGGTAATTTACAGCGAGAGATCAAGTCATTGCTGAGATGTCGTGACTGGAAAATGCAATAACGTCATACACACCTATGATGGTAATATCGTGATGTTAATATCTTGATATTCGTGATCGTTATCTCCTAAACCCATCAACAAAATCTATCCGGATTTTCAGGATAGGAAAACACGTCGTGTGTGTGTTGTGAAACAGTATAATGGAATTCACAACATCGGAATTAAATGTTTCAGTGTTTTGTAACTTGAAATCTCTGAATAATACACACAAGTGGCAATTCAAATGAAACAGAATTGAAAACAGGTTATTTTGGAATTTGTTTCAGGTTTGTAATGGCAACTTTTTAAACTTTGTATATTTCTTTCATAACCAATTTAGTTCTCAAGGTGGTGTATTTGTATAAATATAATTAGCTGTGGTGAATTTGCAGCTTGGAAACGATAAATGAGGGTTGTTAAAATTGTTAATTTTATTCAACGTAGGGTCTGATTAAACTGACCTTTCTATTTTTTCAGTAGTTATTAACAGATGAAGTCAGAATGCATGTTTCGGGATTAGATGAAATGAAGTAATGCATAAAGTGTACATATATATCTGACGCCGGATCCAATAAGAGGAAGGTAGTTAATATCTTCAACTTTTGATTTGAAATTCAACCATTTGCCCATCGCTAAATAAATTCTATTTATAATGAAGTCAGAGATATAATACATTATTCATTGAAAATACAGTTCTTTGACATGCATACGGAAGATTTACAAATAGTAGCTAAGGGTGTATCGTTCGATCCAAACGGGTTCCCTGCAAAATCGGGGCCTGATTTGTGAATTTTGTCACAGTCAGTCTTCAACTGACTATAGTGTCTCACGTTTTAGTTTTTCCATCTGCAAGTTTAATATTTCATTTTAAGGATTCGCTGGTACGATTCGTGAGGCATTAGTGTACAACGAGGAGAGTTCTATGGATATACAAGTTCTTTAATATTAAGTTGTATGTACATCCATAGAACTCCCCTCGTTGTCCATCACACCAACTTCTAATGCCACTCAAAGAAGGCTTTAGTGTGTCTCAAAAGAACACTAAAATCTGAACCTATGCTTTTCAGGTGTTGAAAGTTGGTTGATTGTTAGGTTTTATGCCTTTCCAAGGAAACCTTTTAACATGGGTTTGTACAGTTAACGATGAAATCCCGTGTCTAGCATTTGTCTGAATGTACTAGTTTGCATATGTTTATCACAGGTCACACAAAGTTTGTAACAAACAAACTCAGCTTAACAACGGATAGGTAGCTTACAGTTTATTTTCAGCAGTTTTTGAGTAAATCCATATGTAGCTAAACTAAAAAGATTAGTTTTTTTCTTAAAATAATATTAGTGTTCAATGACCGATAGCAAACTGTCAAACAGCTGAACCTTTCCGGGTTTATGGGAAACGAGTATTGTGACCAAGGTTGCTTTTACACGGTACGATGCTCTATAGACATTTCGCCTGTTTGCTGGGAAAAATCAATTTATCTACAACTAAAATCTATAGCACAAAGTGTGACGCAGGCGTCTGAAATCGGCTACTATTTCCAATACATGTATATAACCAGGAGGGATATTTTTTAAAAGACTTTGAGAAGAATACAACAATCGTGTTACTATAATTCGATCTTGAATCACTCTGAAGTAAAATTTTGAGAATTAATAAACCAGTTCCACCTGTATCTATATCCGATGTCGACGAATCAATTATGGCCGTAATCATATTTAACCAAAAGGTGCGAATTAAAATTATTTGAACCAATAACCGTTAACTGGACAATCTGTATATTATTACAGAGGCGTGTAGTTTTCATACAAATACAACGAAGCTATATTTTGTCGTTATTATACACCACTGTTTGTCAATAAATTACTTGAAAACGTGACGGAAAAACTACGTCCTGTCAATAACTTTGTATTCAATAAAATACTTTCAAGGTTTTGCGTCGGCTGAAACGTGAAATGGTCGTTTCTGTTAAATAGTTACTATTAGCATAAATCGACATGTGTAAACCCGTCACAAATTTCAATTGTTTGATAAATCCTTGAACGATTGGAAGTGTAGTTAGGAAGTATTTATCTAATCTGCGAAAGTAAACTGTTCAATCAAACAAAGACAATAGCGATTAATAAGGAGAAATGAGCGAAAAAAGAGAACCTGGTCTCGCCAAATGAAGACAGTCGTTAATCATTCTGCGGAAAGATTTTACATAAAATATTAAAATCCAACAAATTGTATCACTTTGCCGGTGTAATTACTGTTGTTATTGCATTAAAATGCAGCGATAGATCCTCGAATGAAGGAAATACGCATCGTAAAGATAAGAGAATCTATTACCGCCAATTTCCTTTGCGTGCGATGTCCATGGCATGTCGATTTCATCTCGTGAACTGCACGCGAGAAGTCAGTTTGAGGGGATCACGTGCTAAAGTAAATCCACACATGGGGGTAATGCTTGTTTTATAAGGTGGAGAAGGTTTAAAAAGTAGATATCGTATTGACATTACTTGTCAAATTCATTTCAGCTCAGTCATAAACTGTAAACGAATCCTTTTCTGGTTTACGATCCTGGGAAAAACACAAAACCGATTGTATCCCGCCGTTCCAATTTCTATCAATTACCCGAATGAAATCGACATATGAAGTGAAGCGGGGCCAACTGAGGCTTGGCTGTTGTTTTAGGAGGCCTGCAAAAACGGGATTAAATGAACCGAATCTTGAATTTCGATCGATTACGGGCCATTATTCTAATGACAAACCCCACAACGTCTAATTAGTGCTTCACGCTGTCGTGTCAAACATACGTTTAATTTTCTGAAAGCTCCTTAACATTCATTTGTTGAGACAACGGTTACCTGTGACCGATTTCAAAATCTGACTATGAGGGCAGTGACTATGGTTAACGTCAGTGAATTAAGGTTCAAAGATTTTGACGTTTTTTAATGTTACAACAAATTTTAGATTCTAGGGTTTCAAATTTAAAACACATGACTACGGGGGGAATTTAGATTCTTTGCGCGAGGCAGTCGAGCGCCGATATTTGATGATATTAAGAGCAAAGCCAATGCAAATATCGTTAATCAATGGACGGCAAAAGCACGTGCTTTGACTGCGATGTCACTTTCGCCAGGTAAACAACGCAACCTAAGTTTCTCAGATTGAGAAATTGACATGAAATGTATTTCATCAACGTTAAGCATAGCTCGGGGAAAAATCTTATCTACATCGACAACAAAGGATGTAATTAAATTCCTACCACTGTTATTACACCTGTCGCTAGTAAATCGAGTTATTACATACACCGCCGCGAGGCAAAGACTGTAAAATCCTACCTGCGAGGCCAACACTAAGATCTATATCTACAGTGGTGGGGCAAATAATTACACAAATATGTAAAAGCGCGTCCTAACTATATAAATTTGCAAGTTAGTAGCGGTGAGTTTGTAAAGGAAAACTTAACTTGCGTTCGAGGAAACACCCTTTGGAGAATTTCAGTGAACGTGATGAATCGAGCACGGAGCGCCGACTTTACCTGACATAAGTACAACCCTTACTCTACACCTGATTTTTTCCTCCCTTCCTTGAAACCTAGGCAACATCAAAGGTTTAATCCAAAGCACGCCGTCCTCACAAAGTTGAAAACAACTGGCCGTACCTCTGACCTAATTTGAGAGAAAATACGCTCCCATTTCGATTTCCGATCACAAAATTTGATCCTACCGTCTCCGGTGAGAGGATCGTTCGAAGTTTTTGAACAAACCACTTCAAGCTGAATCCAAACATATGACATTAGCTACTTAAACAGGAGCAAAAACCAGCGCGTAGCTGACTATTCAAACCTTCTCCAGCCTTATAATGACAAGGAATGATACGACAATTTTACGCACTAAATAAACAAAGGGTAATTCGGTGACTAAGTGCGCGATCCTTTTCCGCCTTGGACTGAAGCTAGTTAAATATATGAACAAAGCAGTAAGTCCCTGACAATCGTGTTTATTTTCTTTACGTTTCATAATCAGGGAAGAAAAAAGATATAATGCGCCAAAAGTAACAATGGATGTGCTGTATATACATATAATGAATAGGCGACAATAAAAAGCCAAATATAAACAAAAATGAACAGGTGAGAATTGATATTTTTGCTGCCGATTTTAAACGGAATATTGTCATAAAAATCTGACGCATAAATAGAAATGAACTTACATAAATAAATCATATCTCATAAATTAGGTGACATTATTGTCAGTTGAGAGAATAGATATGTTCATGTCAGAAAAGGCGATTTTGTAGCAGCGACCGAGCTCACGAAAGTCGTTCACTTTTGTCCTATAGTTGCAATGGCGCTTGCGAACATATACATACAATAGATATCTAGGTTCTTATCTATACAAGGCGACAATTTATAACAATTAAATGGTACAAAAAATCTTCAAAAATTATGAAATATAAACAACAATGGTCTTTCGCTCTTGGAATGACGGAGTTTTTCATAAACTATGAATCGTTTATAAAGAAAAAAATAAATGAAAATAAAACATATTATGCTACTTTCATATCACTAAAATGTCATTGTAAAACGCGGGGGCGTGATTCGTGCTAACATGATTATGCTTCTAAAGTCACTCACTACTTCACACAAATGCTTCCACTCCGCCATTGAAAACACCTCCTTGAATCAACGAAAACTCTTTAGCACATTTTTCTTGTAAAAAGTCAGGATTTCGTGGTTTAAACCACATGTCTCAGCACAGTTTATGATGAGGATGAGCAAAAACATGTCTGTTCCTTCGAACAGATCTGGTTGGCAGGCATGTATCGGCCACATGGCCAAAAGTTTTTTTATGAGGTTCACAAAAATTGTCTACATATGTGTGAGAGGAACGGTGTTGTTCACAGAACCGTCCGTCGTTGTCGGAATTCCTGCGTATTGTCCCTGCATCTGTTGCAGACGCTGCTGCGCCGCTAGGGCTGCGGCACTTTGGTCGGGGTGGCTCCCATCCCCCGGTAGATACATGTGGATCATCTGTCGGAGGTCTTCTGGGTACTGTTTTCCTGAGGTAGGTGCCCCAACGCCCTGTTGCCCTGGGGTATTCGTTTCCCTCTTAATCGAGTTGGGGTAACTTGAGACGGCTGCATGTAATGTCCCATCTGTGCCATAGACATGGTATAACTCGAACTTCCGTTCATATACGACCCTGTTGTCATCTGGGAGGGCATGGGCTGGGTGGGGTACCCGTACTGACCCCCTAAAGAAGCCATGTGACCCGTCATTTGCTGGTGATACGCATTGGGGTCGTGTGTCATCATGGGGTACCCGTTTGGCATGTAGCCGTTCATGGCATGGGGGTACATGGCGGCTTCACGTCCAACCTGTTGTATCTGAGGGTTACCTGGCATTCCGGGTAGAGCGTATTTATCCTTCTTCATCAGAGTCTTCGTCTTCCGTCGTGGCCGATACTTGTAATCGGGGTGTTCCTTCATGTGGATAGCACGGAGTCGCTTCGCCTCGTCAATAAACGGCCGTTTCTCGGTCTCTGACAGCAGTTTCCACTCGGCACCCAGTCTCTTACTGATCTCCGAATTGTGCATTTTGGGTTTTCCTGGGCCATTTTCCGCCTCTGTCCACGAGACCACACCATGAAAGCATTCATAGGCCTCTTAACACGACTGTTGTCCACGGCTTTGCTGTTAGAGTTGTTATTGCCCTGTACATTAGGCGATGTATTTGATTGTCCGTTTTGAGTTTGGGTAGGTTGTCCCTGGGCGTGAGTTGGATTCACCCCCTGACTGCTGTGCTGTGGGGTAGATGTTGGGGGTAGGGTTGTGTTCGCATGCGGCGGACCCGCTGGCTTCATATCGACGTCCATGCTTCTCCCGCGATCTAAAGTTTCCACGTACATGCACGCTGTTGATGTGTTACCCGGTAGATGGTAGTTCCCGGTGTCCGTTATAACTATAGCTGACAGACAGCGATTCACTAGTCAACGCTGTTGTGTGTGTCCTGTTCACCAGTGACGATGGATAATGTGCCAAATCTTAGCCGCTTTCACCACAGTTCTAAACGTCCACACTTGAGGAGAAACCCTCCTTTTCTTACTCTAATATCCCATACAGTCATCTGTTATTGATCAAGCGCGCAAAATAGGGTTCCGCGCCAGCCAATCAGAGCCGAGCAGAGTGACAGTTTTGATGGACGGTAATTTCAGCGAGTGGTCTACGCTAGACAATAGGCTATGACGATGGGAGGCGGGGCTTAGTCGAGCCTCTCAAAAGAAGCAGGCGGGGCTTGTACGATACGCGCTTTTGTCCCTTTCCCGAAATATGGAGTAAATCTAATTAATAGCAAAGCTTGGCGCTCGCTGAGCCACGGCTGAATGCGTCGCTCGGGCAAAACAGGATCTCGGGCGAATCGTGGATTACCATTCGTTCAACACGCAGGTGGCAGGCGAGTGAAGAGAAACAAGCACTCAAATCCCGTGCCAATCAAGTGACGTCACAGCACGGGGCTTTTGTCCCCACTGTGTGTTGCCTAGGAAACGTGTCAATCGAGAACTAGAAGATAGACACACTCAATAGGCCGGCTTCTGTTCAATCTAGTCCATTTCTCCCGTCAAAACAATATTTTCAAAACCAAAGCCCGCTCGATGCTAGCTCTCTCAATGTATTTAGGAGCGCTTGTCGTGAAAGGCGAATTTTCCACATTAGGAGTTCTGGAAATTTGTAACAGATATCAATGCGATTAAACCTATTCCAGGACAAGCGCTTTTGAAAAGGGATAGCCATGTACATAACAAATGTGTTGTTGCAATCGATTGTGTAAGTGACAGAGTACAATTGGCGATCAGACAGGCAATTGTCACGTTACAAACAATATATGTATCAGGTAGAGCTCAGGCAAAATCACAAGGCCGATGTTGCTGCACACAGCAGTGCGTGTCTGTTACTGTCGTCACATGCCAAAGGGCTGAAATTGACAGGATTCCGTTGAGGGCCTCGCTGTCATTGGAAAACGTATTTTCGAAAGTGTTCACCGTGATTGTATGTGAAACCACATGTTTAATTGTTGTGATATTAACAATTCATTCACACTCGACAATGATCATTAGTACAATGTATCGACATGTTTCAGCAATTTACTAAAGGATGAATGATCATGTTGACATACTTCTATTCCCCGCTTGTATACTCATACGGACAGCGTGCTGGATGAATGTTAACGATGCTTCAAAACTGTAAACATATGTAGATTTTCGTTCCATGTAGAAAAACCACAATTTTCTAAACACGATTTTCGACTGATACAGGGTAAAAATATCATTCAGTGAATGAATCTGTAAAATCATTGTGACATTATACGAAATAATACTCAAGGTGTAAACTGTTATTATTAGTGTTATTATCATATGAACGGAAATATTAAAGTGTGAACACGACAAAAATACACATTTGAAAGTTATCTGACAAACTTCAAAGATGGGCCGTCATTTCCACAAGTATTAAGAAAGAAGAACGCTAAGGAGGAACAAAAATAATGCATGGATCAGAATAGATAATCTGCCAGTAAAACTTGCACACGGATAATCTTAGATTTAATCACCGGAAACGGATAACCAGCGGTAGAAAAACATGTAAGTATTGGCTACCTGGTTGGCGATAAACAAATAACTCGAGGCGATACATTTGGCCTTATTATTTCAAAGACCCCCGTAGACTAATCTTAGTCTCATACAATGAATTTCCTGTTCCACTGCTTGTATCGCCGCAAGTTTTTTGACACCTGTGACAATGCAGATGCGTTTTTACACCTATGAGGAGCTTTTGAACACAGAATTACAGTCATTGTTGCGCGTGAAAATAGGAATCGGATGCGCCACACGTGCTTTGGACCAGTCTGCAGCGTCAGTATTCTAGTCAATTACGGATTATCATTGGTACTTTTGTGAAAAGCAGATAACGTTTACAATGAAATTGACAACAGTAGCCAATTCAGCTGATGGATCAATTTAAGATCAATATCAAGACATTTTGATGATCGTGATCCGAGAGGACATTTCCACACTGTCCATAACAAAATTAGGGATAAAATGAATGTGTTTCTTTTAAAAGGATTTCTTTACCGGCGATTTATAAATTATTGTTGATGATAAATATCTCGAAATGTTGTTTGTGAGGTTTGAAATACAATACGAAAGATGACATGCCTTATATTGTTTTCTTTTTGTTTTTTTAAGCTTGGACGTCTCTGTGAATATCTATCCAATAGGTATTAATATTTATATTGAAACATTACTATTCTATCGAATTAGAAAACGTAATATTTATAAAATATGAAGGTACTAAAAGTGCAATAAACCGATTATTGATTACGAACAATATTTCAAAACCAACAATCATGAACGGAAAATCAGACTAGCAAATTAAGGTTTACCATACTGTTGCTAATTATTACATTATTTTTCAGAAGCAAATCAATAAATCACACAAGGTTGGGGAAAAGTTCAATTAAAATTAATGTTTGCAGAACGGAAATTTGAGAGTGAAATGCACGTAAAAATCAATATAGTTTTTGTGTTGTTGACTTAATTATTTCACCCATGAGGTAAATTTAATTATGAGTTGGTCCATTTGAATCGGGCAAAATGAGATTGTGAAATCAGTCATCTGTTCTGTGTATGAAGTGTCTTGTGAAATTGTCAAGACGGTACTTTATTGGAATATTTTTAATGGGGATAATATGGTCAGTAGGATGCAGGCTGCCGTGATATCTTCATCTAAAAAAAGTTCTTACTTCGATGTTTTTAAGTTCAACCGTAAATGGATAATGTTTATCTCTCTTCCAACTTCATGCTTTGGTTATGACACGTGTGATAACTATATATAACATGTAAAAGAATACAGCTTGCTGTCTCCTTAACGTGATTCAAATTCATTCATTCATTCATTCATTCATTCATTCATTCATTCATTCATTCATTCATTCATTCATTCATTCATTCATTCATTCATTCATTCATTCATTCATTCATTCATTCATTCATTCATTCATTCATCATGTCTGCAATATCAATACACAATTTATAGAGCAACAATCTGACCCAAAATACCCCAATAAACAACAGACCCGTTAGGGTTAATTCAAAGATTGCATTAGTATTGTGACCGTCCCTAGCTCAACACAAACCTTATCATTTAAGCCAATTTATTAACCTCTGTTCGATTTATGAATTAACCTCGAGGATCGCGGAGCCACCTGTGGTTACTGATATTAATTCCTAGCGAGTTGATTCTATGGATGAAGTTAGCTGCTCTGGAACAGGGATCTCCGTCTCCTCACGTATTACAGATGAACTGAAGTAAAAAATATTGCATTGTACATAGTGTTTGTTGCAATGGGTCATTACTTTACCGTGTGTACCCATTAAACTGGCATAAACAATATATTTTTTTCCGAATGGTGTTTATGAATTATGAACTAATAGTTGATTATGTTTTTTGTTGCGGTTGTCTTTCCTGGCATGTAGTTATTATATTTTTAAATAGAAAATGTATTTTATGATTATATTAATGAGCATTATATACGTAACACGGCAACGACGGAATATCAGTTGTTTTAATGTACACAAATTGAAAAGAACGCTGTTTGTGTTACAGAACAAGTTTATGTTTGATCTAACACCAGATTTAATTAACAGGGATATATAATAAGCCAATGGGGAATAAAATAAATGTTCAACTTTCGAGTAGCCCCCCACCTTCATAGGAGCGTCGTTCTCGCTCATAGAATCCCAACATCTCAACCCTATTTCTCAACAGACCAAAATCAGATCGCTCTCGGTATCGATTTTTCGACGGAATTAAAGCCTCGATGGTTGGTGCGGGTATATTTACTTGTTCAAGTTAAAAGTTCCCCCACTGTTGTAACTTGCGGCGTGAGGACCGTCCCTCCCCAGCGACGTCGTGATGCGAGGGAACGACACCGGTAGATTATCGGCTTTAACTATTCATCTCTCCCTAATCCCTCAAGGGGAGTCGCGATTTAGTTGATAACACCAGAAATTACATTGGTTCAGTATTAATTATTCTGCTGAGGCAAACAAGTGAGGACGTGTTGGGGGGACTGTTGAATTAAGATGGAAGAAGGCGAGGGGGTATGGAGAGTGGATTAAGGAATGTGTACCTTTTTATATTCCACTTTCACTTCTCCATTGTGCTTCAACAAATGTCAGCACAACCTATGGACATTGTTTACCGTGCTCATATTTTCATTCAAATGAAATATGACCTCCCCCCTCTCTCTCTCTGTATCTCTCTCTCTCTCTCCCTCCCTCCCTCTCCCTTGTCTCTCCCTCACACACACACACACATAAACATTATCTATATATTTATGATTTTCAAAATTTATCGTTTCACGAACCCGATTTTAGAGTCAGGCTTAAAATGCTGATAGTGCAAATATTGTGAACATGTACAACCATTTTTTTCAATATGATATTAGTAAGGGCAGTGAGCAGTCCAATGTGGTCAGTTGTTGGCCTCAGTACCCACAGCATCATAATAATGAACATCATAATAATGTTACATCTCTGAGGACTTGATTTTAAAGAACACAATGTCTTTAAACAATTTGAGCTGTAACTTAAGACAGAGTTATGAATAATATTCGGTGGAGATTTATGCTACAGAGAAAAATGCGCTTTCAACTCACACGCAAAATGAATAGTTAATTTAAGGAAGAAAATATTCAAACAATGTGAAGTTTGGGGCTTTTACGAGCACAAATCACGAACAACGGCGTGTATTTAACAGCCGGAGAAACGCCAACGTGTACATTTCAGTTTCATGTAATCGAATCCATGTGAAATGAAGTTTGGAGGGGATCAAATTTCAAAATTAATACTCACCGCTACGGTGTTTTTAATTACTGGTAGGTATTGCTAATATCGAGACACTATTTCGTTAAAAAAAGTCAGCCATGCATCGTGATGCACACGACGGAAATTTATGAATACAGTGATGGTGTCAGATGAGCGTTGTCAATTTCAATATCAATTCGTGAAATGCCCCCACTTGCCAGATATCGATTTTGTCGTAAACGTCGACCCTAAGATTTATCG